TGGAACGAAGTACGGCCGAGGCTGCGCGGCGACTTCAGACACAGCAGAGACAGCACCAGTACCCCCAGTGGTAGCACCAGCGCTAGCAGCACCTCCAGCTCCAGGACCCCCAGCAGCTCCAGTAGCTCCAGGACCTCCAGAAGCACCAGTAGCACCCCCAGCAGGACCGCCAGCAGTAGCCTCAGCGCCAACACCCTCAGTAGCTCCACCTCCAGTCGTACCCGCAGGCCCAAAAGCTCCAGTACTCCCAGTACGAGCACCTCCGGGACCCGCGACACCAGCACCCTCAGTAGTCGAAGAGCCTCCAGCTCCAGCAGCACACCTCCAGCGCCGGTCAAACCACTCGTGCAGTTCCTGTGGAGAGATTGGCTCCCGCCGAGACGAAGCACCCGGAGAACCTCCAGGCACAGTAACGCCAGACGCGACACGAGCAGGCCCAGCTCCCTCAGGCTCCGCACCCCCAAGCGTAGCACCCCCAGGCTCAGCACCCCCAGATGTAGCACCCCCAGGCTCAGCACCCCCACTCGTAGAACCCCTAGGCTCAGCACCCCCAGGCTCAGCACCCCCAGTAGTAGCACCCTCAGGCTCGGCACCCCCAAGCGTAGTACCCACACGCTCATCACCACCAGAGTCAGCACCCCCAGGCTCAGCACCCTCAGCAGCACCAGAGTCACCAGCAACCTCGATTGGCTTGACTGCGTCTACCTGGGACACACCTAAAGGGGCAGGACCCTGAGGGGGGAGGGGGTCTACCGGGGGGGGACCTGGCACAAGGAAGAGCGGTGGCGGGGGAAGGGACGGAGTGCGGTAGGGGAAGAGGCGGTAGTAGGGGACCGACTCGTCAAACGTGACGTCCTGGGAGGGCACAACACGGCTAGAGGTGGGGTGGTAGAACTGCCACCCTGGCGCGTTAGGGGGGAAACCCAGGAAGACGCAAGGAGCAGCACGAGGGGACAGCTTGTCCGCAGACAAGTCGCGGACAAACGCTCGACATCCCCAGACACGGAACACAGACGCATCGCCAACCTTCCCCGTCCACAGCAAGGCTGGGGAGGTCTCCGGCATGGAGACCCTGTTCTGAAGGTTGATCTGATGCGCCGCGTACCGAACTGCAAACGGCCACAGAAAATGGGGGGCAGCCGCATGCATCATGGACGCACGAGCTACGTCCATGACCATGCCAATGCGGCGCTCAGCAATCCCATTTTGCTGTGGAGAGTCCGGAAGTGTGAAGGTCTGGCGGATGCCTCGTGCACGACAGTAGGCTCGCAGAAGGCCAGAGGAGAACTCTCCGCCTCTGTCAAAGTGCAGACGCAGAACAGGAAAGTCCGAGCCGAAGCTCTGCCTGAGCTTGAGACGAGCTGCGCGGATCCAGTCGATCGACACCTCAGTAACATCACCCTTGCTGCGCAAGGGGAAGACTATGGTGTAACGCGAGTAGTCGTCATCCACCAGCAGGAAGTAGCGCTCGTGACCCTGTCCACGGACGCGGGCTGGGCCCCACACGTCCATGTGAAGCGTCTGCAGCGGGGCCTCTGTCGGAGGAAACTGGGAGGAGTGAGGGGCAGCACGCTGCCGCCCCTCGGCGCAGGGGACGCAGGCAGGGGCAGGCCCCGGGGGAAGGGGAGGGAGGGACCGGGGAAGACCAGAAACAAGGACACGGGAGGCCATGCCTCGGAGACGAGGCAGGGAGGGGTGACCAAGGCGGTGGTGCGAAAGGAGAGTCTCGTGAGACAGGAGACGACACGAGCAGGGGGCAGACTCAGGACCAGACCTGGACGCTGCAGCAAACACCTGACCCAACGCAGCTACCCGACCAGACGCAGTGACTGGAGAAGACTCAATGGTCAGTGTGTACAGGCTCGACCCTGGCCGACGTGTAAACGTGGCCTAGTGTCGGCCCGTCCGAGCCTCCGTGGAGTGGGTCACCCGCTGGCTCGCAGGAGTGAACTGGTGCACTCCCCCATCCTGTAGGTCAGCACCACTCACCAAGTTCGTAGAGAACGAGGGGAGGTAAAGACCAGACAGGGTTCCAGAGGGAGCCGCCGGACACGGGAGGACAGTGGAGAAGTGAGCAAGGACACGACCCCCAGAGGCGTGAATGTGGTGCGGTCTCGAAAGAAGGAGCGAGAAGCCCCCGAGTCAAGGGTGAAGGTGAGGGAGGCCGAAGACGACGCAGTACCTGAGAGAGCAGACTCACCAGCACCTGAGGAAGCAGACGCACTAGCACCTAGAGTAGTAGCCTCGCTAGCACCAAGAGCAGCAGCCTCACCAGTACCTAGAGCAGCAGTCTCAATGCCTGGGTCGGGCAGAAAACACCGGTAACAGTCACCCTCATCACTAATAGTCACAGCATACATGGCAGCTAGAATAGCATCAAAGTCAAGGTCAAAGATAGCTACTCCCGCCCTAGACAGCTCGCCCCAGCGAGGGATCTCAGTGGCCTCAGGGAACTTCTGACGCCAAGCGTCCGTAAGGCGGCCAAAGCAGCGCTGGGTGGAGTGCGCACCCCCGCACTGCTCACCCGCGCGGTCGCCGGTGCGTAGGACGTAGGTGCACGGACCAGTACCCCCACCCCGCTGGCGTGCAGCGTACCACTCACGGAGCTGCTGAGGGGGGGGGGATGTCACGAGTGCGCTGCTGCTGCTGCTGGCGCTGACCACCACCGGAGCCGACCCTCTCTGCAGCGCCATCCCGACCAGCTCCGCCTCCTCAGCCGCCGCCTCCTCCTCCGCCGCCACCTCCGCCACCTCCGCTCCCACCGCCACCGCCGCCTCCGCCTCCGCCTGCACTGCCGCCACCGACACCTCCACCCTCGCCACCACTCCCACCACCACCCCCACCCCCTCCACTGCCTCCACCGCCACCTCCGCCACCCCCGCCAACCCCTCCAGCGCCCTTGCCCCCCTTGCCCTTGCCGGTGCGGCGTTTCCCGCTCGGGGAAGACGAAGCGCCGACCGACTCGAAACCAACGAGGTCGGCCGCAGCAGCAGAGGCAACAGAGGGCAAAAGGGGGGAGGGGGAACACCCCTCAAAGACGGAGGTGCGAGTGTCACCACGAGAGGCTCCTACAGCGACTATGCTCTTCTCTGTTGCTAGGAGGGCCTTCTCGAGGAGGTCAACGGTGAGAGTGGTGGGGCAAACAGAGAGGAAGTGGTCCCTGACTACGCGTAGGGAGTCAGGGAGCCGGGCGACTATGTAATAGAGGGTGATGTACATGGTGACAAAATTAGAAGAAAGAAAGAGGATTGAACTAGCAGAAATGGGGATACAAATAGCAAACCCTAGAAGGGTTGTACTCGCTATAGAGCACCCCACTACAGGCTAGAACATAAGATAATATTCTGACACATGGGGGGGGGGTTCTTGGCGCAGAACTCAGCAGGAAGCGCAGCGCGATAGTGAGTGTCACTAGTTTGTAGGTGCGTAATGAGGTCATTGACTGTGGGAAAGGCAGCAAGGTCAAGGAAGAGGTACGATAGCATGAGGCGGCTCAGTGCAGCAGTGGCAGGGGAGGAGTAGCGTGCAACTACAGCGTCGTACAAGGTCTGAGCACTCTTGTACAAGACGTGCAGCAGCATCGGGTGTGGCCCACTGTGAGCGAACAGTGGCGTCAACATCAGCAGCAGGGGCAGGAGAGGCACCAGAAGTGAGGTCAAAGAGGGAGAGACCGTCTGCCCTATCGCACTGTAGGAAAAGCTGTAGGTCATCTATCCAGACGTCAAAGTCAATAGCCCGACCCTCATCGTCAAAAGCGAGGACACTAGGAGTAGCCATGACAGTAGTAGACTAGCAGCGCGAGCAGTAGGGTAAGGGCAGTGCAGTGACAGAGGCGCTGTTCTTACCGGACAGGGCGGCTCGGGTGGCTCGGGCGGCTCGGGCGGCTCGGGCGGCTCGGGCGGTACGGCGGCTCGGCAGCAACTGCGACTTGTCGATGCGGGCTGCTCGGCAACGCAGCGACACTGGCGGCTCGGGCGGCTCGGCAGTACGGCGGCTCGGCAGCTCGGCGACCCGGCGGCCCGGGCGGCTCACGCGGCTCAGGTGGTGCGGCGGCTCGGCAGCAGCTCGGCGGCGCCGGGGCCCGGTGGTGACGGCGGGGCCGCGTGGGGACGGCGGTGGGGCCGGGTGGAGCGGCGTCGGGGCCACGTGGATCGGCGGCGGGGCTGGCTGAGGCGGCGTCGGGGCCGGGAAGGGCAGTGCCGGGGCCGCAGGGTAGGCTGCGAGGCCAGCAGAGGCGGCGCCGGGGCCGGGAAGGGCGGCGCCGGGGCCGCAGGGTAGGCGACGGGGCCAGCAGAGGCGGCGCCGGGGCCGGGAAGGGCGGCGCCGTGGCCGCAGGGGTAGGCGACGGGGCCAGCCGAGGTGGCGCCGGGGCCGGGAAGGGCGGCGCCGGGGCCGCAGGAGTAGGCGTCGGGGCCGCTAGGGCGGCGCAAGGGGCCGCAAGGGCGGCGCACGGTTGGTCGACGGGCGGCTCGAAGGGCCTTAAGGGCGCACGCGGAGCCAACGGGCGGCGCAAGGGGCCGCTAGGGCGGCGCGCGGGGTCGACGGGCGGCGCGAGGGGCCGACGGGCGGTGCGAGGGGCTGCAAGGGCGGTGCGCGGGGCTGTAAAGGGTGGTGCGCGGGGCCGCAAGGGCGGTGCACGGGGCCGTAAGGGCGGCTCAAGGGGCCGTGAGAGGGGCCGCTAAGGGCGGCACGATGGTAGGGAGGGAACGCGGGGCGCGACTCGGGCAGGAGCGAAGCGCGCTCCGGGCAGGAAAAAAAAAGTTTCGAGGTGGGCCCTAGAAAGCGTTCCCACTAGGGAACCTGCTCTAAAACCATGAGAAGAAATGAGGAATGATTGAACTATGAAACAGTTGGGTACAAGTACTAACCCTAATTGGGTTGTACCCCTTATGGGCTACCCCACTACAGCCTACACAAATGTATAAGCTATAATGTTCTGACAGTTTGATCATGCTTGGAATGTGATTGCTGAAGGGATGAGGAATGATGGATTGTATGAGATGAAGCTGAATGAGAAGGTCTTGGCTACTGAGAAAGCTACCTACCAGCCACCACCGAAGGAAGGAGTGATGGCGAGGGAGGAGTTGAAGGCGAAGCTGAAAGGAGTGCCGGTAGAGGAGTTGCAGGTGGAAGCTATTGCAATGGTGGGAGCAGCTGCAAAAGTGGATCTAGAGACCCTGCATAGGCGTCTAGGACATGCGGGGATGGAGCGGATTAAGGAGCTCGTGAAGAAGGGCATGGCAGCTGGTGTGGAACTAAAGGAAGGAGATGGGAGTAAGGGGAGGTGCGGCAAGTGTGTGGAAGGCAAAATTTTCAAAACCCCCCATCCCATACACCAGGTTCAGGAGCCCTATGGTGCAATGGAGATAGTTGCAGCTGATGTCTGTGGGCCATTGAGAGAAACTTCCAGGCACGGAAGCCGGTACTTCGTCACTTTCACTGACCTAGGGACTAGGCAGACGTGGGTGACAGAGATCAAGTATAAGACAGAGGTATTCTCTAGTTTCTTGAACTGGATGGCGGAAACTGAAAGGCAGAGTGGGAAGCAGCTGAAAGTGTTAAGAACTGACAACGGTGGGGAGTTTGTGAATGCGGAGTTCAATAGTTTTTTGCGCACGAAGGGGATACTGAGGCAGCTGACGGTACCGTACACCCCACAACACAACAGTGTTGCAGAGAGAGTGAATAGGTCACTGTTGGATAGCGTAAGAACTATGCTGGCGGATAGCGGTCTTCCACTGAAGTATTGGGGAGATGCCTTGGGGATGGCATGCTGGGTTAAGAACAGATTGCCTACCAAAGGCCTCGTAGCAGACATGACCCCGCATGAAGCTTTCTACGGAAGGAAGCCGAACATGGGGTTTGTGAGAGTGTGGGGCTGCATGGTACAGTATAGGGAACCGACTGGACCGGACCACAAGCTCCTACCAAGGAGCAAGTGGTGAATCAACCTTGGGATGTGCAAGGTGAGCAAGGGCTGGGTGATTAAGGATGTGGAGACTGGGAAGATGGTCGTGACCAGGGATGTCATCTTCTATGAAGATGGCAATTACCTTCAATGGAAAGGGGTAAACAAGGAGATAGCATCGGGAGCAGCCGCTACACTAGATAACGTGGAGGGGCTGCTAGTGGAGAAGGAGAACGAGGGGATAGGATGTGATGAGGAGGAGGCAGGAGACAGTGTGGACACAACTAGCAAAGAAGCTGTTTGGCCGGAGCCACAGAGGAACAAAGTGGTAGAGGAGGCAGCAGATGTGCAGGAAGAATGGTCCCAGGAAGGGGAGAATGAAGAGACGAGTGCTGAGGAGGAAACTCAGAGTGTGGAGGTTGTGGAGAGTAGTGATGGGTCAGCAAAGGAGGACGGGAGTAGCCCATGGAAGCTGATCGTTAGTGACGCTACTAGTGAAGCTGCTAAGGAGATAAACGAGCTGTTGGAGGACGAAGCCATGGTACTATGAAAGGAACGAGGGCTTGACGAGATATATGCAGCGACAAAGGAACTGAGTAAGGAAGCGACACCTGCTGAGGAGTTGGGGCGAGGTATGAGGATCAAGAAGAAACCAGCTAAGTTTGTTACACTGGTTATGACACCTTGGAAGGATGTGAGGACCCATCTGCTCTTGGCTGCAACTGCAACGGCGCTGGTGTCACGGGGGAGTTTGGAGAAGTATAACCTACCTAAGGAACCCGTGACTGTTGAAGAAGCCTTGGCAGGACCGCAGAGGGAGCAGTGGATGGCTGCAATTCAAGAGGAGCTGGACACACTAGCAGAGAGAGGTACTTGGGAACTAGTGCCTATGCCGGAAGGAAGGGCAGCAGTGGGTGTGAAGTGGATATTTAAGATCAAGACAGGGGATATGGGGCAGCTGGAGCGGTTTAAGGCAAGGTTGACTACAACGAGACCTATGCCTCTGTGAGCAAGCTTACAACCGCAAGAGATTTCCTAAAGGTGGTAGCAGCAAGGGGTTATTTCATGGTGCAGCTGGACATCAAGAATGCGTTTCTGCATGGGGTAGTGCGAGAGGAGCTGTAAATGGATCAGCCAACCGGGTTTGGGGATGGCACTGACAGAAAGTGTAAGCTGTTAAAGGCGTTGTACGCGCTGAAGCAGAATCCAAGGGAGTGGTATAAGGCGATGGATGAGAGGTTGCTGAAAGGAGGGTTCCAGAAAAGTGAGTGTGACCGCGCATTCTATTGGAGGGGAGAAGGAGAGGAGAAGGTGTACTTGCTGCTCTTTGTGGATGATATCCTCATAGCAGGAGCATTGCCGGTTGCGGTGGAGAAGGTGTGTGATCACCTAGCCGAAGTTTTTCAGGTGAAGCAGATTCCTAGGACAACACTGTTTCTGGGGATGAACTTGGAACGGAACGTGGAGGAGAAGAAGCTTTTCCTGTATCATAAGAAGTATTGTAATAGGGTGCAGTAGAGGTTCAGTGAGGGTTTTGCTAAGGAGATCAATACACCACTCAGCGACGCAGCTGCACATGATACCGAGCATGAAGAGGATGTGAAGCAGTGGGGAGGAGAAAAGAAGGCTCTGCAGATGTACCAGTCGATGGTGGGATCGATCATGTACCCGGTCTCATGCACAAAGGTCGACATGGCATATGCGGCGAGCTATTTGGGACAGCACGTGCAGCAGGGAAGGAAATGGAGGGAGATGAAGCGAGCACTGAGTTATTTGGTGCAGCATTAAGAGGAGGGTCTTCTCTTTGAGGGAGGAGAGGATACTCTGCAGCTGGTGGGGTACGCGGATGCCTCACATGCATCGGACAAGAAGACAGGGAAAGGAGCGTATGGTTATGTGTTTCTCCTTGGGGGCACGGCCATCATGTGGCAAGCAAAGAAGTTGGCAAATATAGCACTGACAACTGCTGAAGCTGAGTATATGGCACTGTTCTTCGCGTGCCAAGAGGGAGTGTGGCTGAGGAGGTTGCTGAAAGAGTTCGAGATCCCTGTTGAGGGGCCTACTATTGTGAGGTCGGACAGCAAGTCAGCCATTGACTTGGCCCGGAATGACAACTGGCATGGGAGGACGAAGCACATGAACGTGAAGTACCATTGGGTGCGGGAGCAGCTCGAGAAGCAGCAATTCAAGTTTGAGTTTGTTCCTACGGGAGAGCAACCAGCGGACTTCTTGACCAAGGTGTTACCTAGGTCTAACTTTGAGCGCTGCAAGGAGAAAGTTGGGATTCGTCAGTTGAAAGGAGCTGCAGGGGAGTGAGAAGCCGAGATGGATGTCAAGGAGCAGGGGAGCACGGTGGACTGTGTGGTTGCCAAACCACAGGGGAGATTGTTGGAGTGGTTCGTAACAACCACACACAAACCTGGAGTTAAGGTAAATTGAGTTTTGTGAGATGCGCATTTTTGTGCTTTACGTGTTGGTGTTTACGGTTCGTGAATCGCCTTAGCGGTTCATGAGTTATGTGCATTTCAGTGTGCGGTTGCATTCATGAGTTTTCATGACTGTTCGCGTGCGTTTCGTGAGTGCTTCATGAAGTTACGAGTTTTCATGAGTGTTCGTGGTGTTTCATGAAGTTCCGAATGTTCATGGTCCTTCGCGCCTTGTTCATGAGTGTTCGTTTGCTGTTCGCGTGCGTTCATGAGCGATCATGTACCGTCATGAATGTTCATGTTCGGTCATGTGCGGTCATGACTGTTTGTGTTTCGTGTCATGGTTTTTTCGTGTGTTTTCATGATGAATGGCGAGTGTATTTGCGCTGGTCAAGGCTCGAGCCATGAGCTCGAACCCTGTTGGGCAGTCATGTGTGTAGCGCCAAAAATGTAAGCGTGTGCCAATCATGGCACACGCGCTGCCTGAGGGCGTACAGCTAATGCCCGACCAGTGCACGCGAATTTGCCATGCGCCGGATGGAAACGCTGCCCCCGAGCTCGAAACCCCTGCGTGCTGCTCCCACAGTACAAGCACCTGGATGGCAGGATACAGTACACGCGCCTCGGCCACCAAGGCACGTGCAGACCAGAACAAGGCAGGCCGACCAAGGTTTGCCTTGTTTCTAGGCCAGAAGTCAGGCAGGCGAAATGAATGGACGAAACGGCCGTGGTTTCGTCTACGCATTCGCCCAACTGCCCCGCCACCTAAGCAGGGTTCATCGTGCATGTAGCAGACATCTTGGCAAATTCACGGTGCCACGTGTACTCTGCACCTTTGGGGTACTAGCCCATTATCAGCCAAGCGTTGTTCGCCTACCCTACGTCAGTCATTTGATATTGTGGTTACCAAACCACACGATAAAAAATGCAAGCCTGGTGCATGGAACGAGCACCATCCACACGTATGGGACAAGCCACAAAGAACAGGCCCCAGCATTGCCCTTGCACGGCCGCCATCTGAAGTTAAAATCCGAACAATGAATTCAATAACTCACCATTCTCACACTCCCCAGCCTCTCAAAATGGCACGTTTTAATCGGCGGGAACAGCTCCCACTCCATATCAAGTGCGCTATTTGCACGCACCACGTCGAAAACCCCCGCCTGCGTCATGTTGACCTGGCGAGGTGGTGTTACTCTCATTACGGCTGGCGCCCTGATCGCTCCACTGTCGGGCGCATTTTGAAGAGCGCGGAGCGATGGGCTGTCACGGCAACCGGTGACAACCAAGTGCGCCGTCGAGGTGGCGCATGGCCTGAGCTGGAGCAGGCCATGGCGCGGTGGATTGCAAACGCGGGGCCCGCCGGCGTGCCGCTTACCCTGCAGACCATCCGCGACCATGTCGCGACCATGGCGCGGAACATGGGCATCCCGCCCACATTCTGCTGCTCCATCAGCTGGGTGCGCCGTGCTTTGCGGCGGCAGGGGGTTCGGTGCTGTGCAGCACAAGGCGAGGCGGCTAGCGTGGACATGGCCGCCGTGCGCGACGCCCGGGAGAAGCTTCCGCAACTCCTCACTCATCTCGGCGTCACCCCGCGGGACACATTCAACCTGGACAAGACCGCGCTATGGCTCTCCGTGCTCCCTAGGCGCACGTACAGCAACGGCCGCATACCATGTCGCAAAGTTTCCAAGGACCGCCTGACCGTCGCATACCTCGTAAATGCGGACGGAAGCCACGTTTTCCGCCCGCTTGTGATAAGTAAGGCGAAGCGGCCCCACGAATTCCGCCCGGACTATGACCCCGAAGCCCTCTGCTACTGGCGGCATAACGCAAAAGGCTGGATGACGTCGCCGGTAAGTTTGTAACATGTATGGGGTTGCTCGCGTATTTTCAAACTTTGAGTGCGTGAATGTTGCGGAATATGCATGTGCTAACTATGTTTCCTCTGCACGACGCCTTCACCTCCCTTGCCCGCCCCCAGTTATTCACTCATTTCATATCGTAGCTCAATGCTGCGATGTACACCGAAGGCCGCAAGATCGTAGTGTTGCTCGACAATGCTAGCAGCCACATGCTCAGGAGCCAGCACGCATGGAGCGAGATCGTCTGCGGCATGCGGACTACGTGCATGAGCAACGTGCGGCTCGTATTCCTGCCGCCCAACACCACCGCATTCACACAGCCGCTCGACCAAGGCATCATCGCCACCACCAAGGCCCGCTACCGCCAGCACTGGTTGCGGGCCTTTTCGGCTTTGTGGAACGCCGACGGCGCGACAAGCGCCGTCACGCGGTACCGCCCGAACCTGCGCGACGTCCTGGGGTGGTTTTCGGACGCGTGGACATCCGTCGGTGCGCGCACCATCCAGCGGTGCTGGTCCTTGGAGCTGCCACACGTTCACGACGACGAACCTGTCCCTCACTTCTATCCTGACCTTGAGCTCGACGCCGACATCGACGATGTCGGCACGCTCATCAGCGGGCTCGGCCTCGGGAACGGTGCGATGACGGCCGCCGAGTACGTCGCCGTCGACGATGGCGAGCCAACGTGCGCCGAAGGCGCTGCGGGAGAGCCCACCATGGAGCCGGAGGCGGGCCTGGTGGTGGAGCTCTGGGAGGCGCCGACGACCATGCAGGCCGTCTACGACGACGCCGACCCCGTTGGCCGCGAAGCCCGGCGCACTGCCCGGGCGGCATGCGAGATGCTCATCGGATATGCTCGGGTCACCCGCATCACGCCGCGCGATCTCTGCCATCTATTTGATATCCGCAACCCCATCATTATCGCTCGGATGGAGCGGGCGAGCCCGTCATTCAACCTCAACGTGGCCCCTCAGCCCGTCCCCACCCCCGACGCAACTCCCACGCCCGAGACCCCTCGTCTGCGCGGCCGTGTGCTGCCTGGCTGGATGACCCAGCGGTCCCGCCGTCAGCAGCTGCTTGACGCCGGTGTGGGCGCCGTGATGGACGGCTATGTGGACGCGGCTGAATGGATGTGTCTGTGAGGGTTGGTGGAGCAGTTTCACTCAGGTGTCGAAGGCATTTTGCTCGGCACAAGTGTTCACACCTTGTGCCCATTTGTGTGTGTTTCGCTTTGTGTGTTGAATGAAGGTGAGGGGCCAGGTGGGGGATGTTGATTGGACGATGGTTGTGTTTTGCATGTTTTGTACTAGGGGGAACAATTGATGAAGATGCTTGTTTCATTACTGTTGGCTCCGCTTAGTAACCCTGAACACACAACAACGACAAGAGCTGCGAACCCTTACAGTTGCGAGTCAGATAAATTGGGTGGTTACCATGTGCAGTTTTGAAGCACACTAGACGCCTGACGAAACGAACGAACCTCACGCGAAATGCAGGTTTAGCTTACAGACCCCCTTCACAAGGCAACCGGGAGGGGCTCTAACGGGCATTAGCTATAATACAATTCGTAGCCACACGCGCGAGTGTGGCAGTGAGGTGGCGCGTGGGAAATGCCAAGCGCACGTGGGCCCAGCTTGGATCTCGAGGGTGCCATGTGGGGCAAGCGAGATTTCGCTTGACCCACGATTGGTTTGTCTTCATCCGTCGAGAAGAAATTCACCATGGAGTGTTTCGCAAGGCACGCAATTTACTTTCGACGCTGGTGCGAATTGAGCGAGGTGGAGTTTGACGACTTCGTAATTTCATCACGTAACTGTGCGAATCGCTCAGGTGTTTTCATGAACTGTCACGCATGGTCATGAGCTATCATGTTCGCTCGTGGAATTCCGTGGGCAAGTATGGGCTACATGATTGTGCGTGGGCGGGTATGTTCCCACTGATTTCACGTGGAGAAAGTTGGCATTTCAGAGTATGGTTCCAGCTATAATTTTTGTGGGCTGTTAGCTTTTGTTCTTGGTGGGTTAGTATAAATCTTTGCTTGTGTTTGTTTATGATCAATCTTTAATGAAATTACGTTTGCTTTTTCAACGTATTGACGTGAAGAGAATTCCTGCTTACAAGCCATGTCAACGTAGCGCTGCGCATATGTTTATGGGAGTACTCATGTGCTCACGAATCCTCACTAATTGACTCTCTGCAACCATGGACCTGTAGAGCCTACTTAGAGTGAGTTAGTCAAAGCGCAAAGAGTCAACTAAGTTCGTTTTGAGACCGACAGAGACAGCGACAGACAGGGCAACGAAAGAGCTCCTGACAGAGTGACAGTAGACTACGAAAGTGATAGAATTCGATTCGCGATTGCGGAGAGCCGCGACTGCAAAGGCGCGAGGAGCGGCAATGGCGGATGGGGCAACCACGCGCGCGCAAGCGGGGCTCCCAGCGGCTGCGGCGGCAGCAGTGTCGGGTGCCAACATCAAGTTTACCTAGAACTTGGTTCAAGTTGTTGAGATTGTTTCTTGATATGCATTTTTAGACAAATTACAAATTTTGAATCAGCCTAAAGTGAGTCAGGTCACCATTCCGCCAAACATGGGCCGCTGTCGGGATAGGAGGCACAGGAGGACCCGAATTCAAGAAGTGAAGAACTGGGACGGCAACAGTGGAGCGCCGGATAGTGGCTTGCTAGCTACATTGCGAAAAAGGGAAGTTGTGAAATTTGGCCTTCGAAGGTTTTTCTGCATAAACCTTGCGTACAAGTTGCGTGAAGTATCCAAAAACCAACGCACGAAAATCGCAACATCCGGTACACCAGTTGCTTTTCCGTCAACTTTTTTGTGTCAGTCGGTTTCGCCCGTTCGAGAGAGATTCCATGCGGTTTTGCAGAGTGACGAGGGCAGTGTAATGTAACCACAAATTTAACGAAACAGATCGAACCCACAAAGTCCAGCGAGGTTCAACAACTGCATATATAGTTTTCGTTCAATATCCAATCTGAACCCAACCATCCAACCCAACCCACAAATGCTACCTGGTTTTTTCACAAAGGGTGACGTGTGAGCCAAAGAATCGTTGTGAACCAATGATTGTTGTGCTGTGACGAGTCAATCAATATGCACCTTCCGATACCTACACGTCAGCACACCCAACCCAAAAAATGTCCACACAATATCCCCTCACTTTCAACATGGGAATCTTTATCACATGAGTCCCCTCCACACCTGTACCTCCCGTACTACCCACACCTACCTCATAATCTCCCCTTGTTGATTTCTAGTGCAATGTTCAGCATTCGCGCTCTCTAGGTTCCTTGGACTAGCAACTCAGCTCTACATGCACGCTTGGTTCTTCAACACCATCACTACGTTGCGTTCGCAGATCTCGTTGTTCACTGTTTTATCTTGCTGCAGATACATCTTTCAGCACTAAGCACTTCTCACTCTGATATGTGTCAACGGGAGCGTTGTAAGGCCCTGTCCTCGCTTGGGCGGAGCCAACCTTGTGGTCGGATGTGCTGGGGTTGCAGCCGACCTACAGCAGTGGGCACGGGGGTCACTGCAAGGGCACCAAGCTGGAGGACGCCGAGCAGGAGGACACCGCCCTGGACGCCTGGTTGGCGTCCCGGACGCCTGGACGGCGTCCTGGGAGGCTGGACGCCGAGTTGGGCGTCGCCACGACCACCCGGGCGTCTGGTCGACGTCGTGGGCGTCTGCAATGCGTCCGGGGGTCCGGACGCCGACCTGGGCGTCGGGCCCCGACACCGACCTGGGTGTCTAGTCGGCGTCCTGGGAGGAGGGACGCCGCTCTGGAGGTTTGGTTGGCGTCCTGGGCGTCTGGACGCCGACCCGGGGTTCGGAAGGCGTACTGGGCGCGCCTGGACACCGGACTGGGGACGCCGGGCATGCGTGACCGGCTACGGACTGCACGAGTCGACCAGGCGTGGTTGCCCGGTCGATCGGGATACCCGGGCGACGTGCGCGAGCGTCGCCAGGATGGAGACTCCGAGGCCGACCTCGGGGGCGGTATCCCGAGGTCGACGTGGCTGGTGGGCACAGTCGCTGGCGTGGAGTCTGCCAGGCGTCTGCGTTGTGCACATGACAGGGAAGTGCGCACCAACCAGCTGCGCGCACCTGCGAAGCAGGTGCACCGTTGTCCAACGAATGCAACGCTGTGCAGCCGACTTGCTGCAAGTGCTGGCACACCGTGGACATGCAACGTTGGCGAACCACTACTCTGCAACGCTGGAGCGGTGCGAGCGCTGCTGCGCTGGAGTGCGGTTGACCGTGCTGCGCTGGAGGTCGACCAGCAGCCTAGCTAGCACTGATGTAGTCTGTGATGCCAATGTTGTTGCTATCATTGTTGTCATGTTTTTCCTAGTGAAACTCTTGCCAATTCTCCCCGTGAACACAAGGAAACGACTAAGTGAACGAACGCAGTGATCACATGAGCACACGTGCCTAGCCCGTAGTCTAGCTCCCGTTGCAGCAGTTATCTCCGCAATATGTACCGTCAATTTTTCCCTCCCACCTCCCTTTCCCCTTTGCAGATTGACGGCTCAACACCTTGCGGACGACATGCGTGCATTCGGCGATGCGAAAGCGCCTGTGTAGAGGCTGTCTCGATGATAAAGGTATTTGTATTGTTGGTGAGGCATATGTTCTTATAACGCGATGATTTGGCCTACATGTCTTGGGTATTATTAACCCTGGTGAGGTCTTCATGAGTCGTGCATGGTTTCGTGTTTGCTTTTTATTACTCGTGATGTTCGGTTCTTCAATCCGACGTTTGTAACTTACGGTTGCGACTGACACTATCGTTACAGCATACAGACGTCGGGTGCTTAACCACCGTCGATTTAGCCGCCTCGGTTTACCATGTTAAGGCTAGCAAGATCTGCATCAGCTAACCCCTCTGGAGCAATGCCAGCGGGATGCACGCTTCGTTTGCATGTGTTGCAGGGCGTACTTGTGTTTGCAAGCTTACCGTCAACCAGAAGCGCAAAATGTTTATTTTTCACCGTTACAGCATACTCCTGTCAAGCACCCAGATGGTGAGTGACTTGTTGCTGCTTGTTTACGAATTCTTAACTTCCTCAGTTCTCCTGGGTAACAGCTGTTTCTTACTCACAGAGTGTGTAGCTTCTTAGCAGTGGAGTGTGCAGTGTGATTGTATTATAATTGGGTTGAGACGCTGGTCTAGACAATTAGCAATGCAGTATAATGTAGGTGTAGGTGTAGGTGTAGAAAATCAGTGTACAATTATGTGTATGCGTTGTGAATACTTATTATACAAAAACAAAAATAAACAATCAGAACAGTAAACCATTTTGTTGAAATCGCCACTAATAGTAATTTGCTACTGTACACCAAATTGCATGCTCCGATTGGTCCACATGGCATGATTACATGCGTCAATTAGAATATAATCTGACGGTTTACGCTGGAGTACGACAGCCGCCACGTCAGCATACGCTGAGTTTCATCTAGAGTACAGCGTACGCCACGTGGCGTCGTCATGACACTTTCGCACAGGTTGCTCAAAGTTGACGGAAATGTTGCTTTACTGTATACTTGGTCAGTTGCCCCAATATGTACAGTTAGTGACTGGGAAGTTGCTTGGTAAGTGACGGTCGGAATGCAGTTTTAAAACCTTGACTCAAAAATGCCGGGCAAAAAATATCGGGAAAGTTGCGGAAGAGAGTATTTGGAGTTGCTTTTCGAACTTCCCATTTTCGCGATTTATCGTGTCAAAGCGACAGACAGGAGATTAGAGAGCGACGGACGATGGCAAAACAGCGACTGTCAACGGCGAAAAGGCGACAATAGGCGACGAGAGGGGGAAAAGAATCAATTCGCGATGGCGAAATGAAATAGCAGAGGCGCGAGGGGCAACGGCAATGACGGGTGGGCCAAGAACGCGCGCGAAGCCGGGACTCTCGGCGGCGGCAGCGGCGGAGACAGCGGCTCCCGGTGGCGTTCGCGGAGGCAGCAGCATCGCTACGGGAGGGGGTGGGAAAGTGAGAGGCGGATGGGGAGGAGGAGGACGGGTAGAAGTGGGAGGAGGAGGGGTAGGAGGAAGAAGAAGGCACGTGGAGTATGGGGAAGGGACCTATGTTGATGATTCGAGGTATGGGGGAGATGGGAGC